AAATAGGCGGGGCGACCCCGCCCATCGCGCCAACCGACATGCACCCGTTTCAAAGTCCTCTCTCAGCACAAGAGACACTGTCGGAACGAAAAAGGGAAAAAGGCGAAAAAAAAAGTACTAAAGGCCCCAAAAGCGGCTTAGCCAACGTACACTCCCAAAGACGGACTAGTTCTCACTGCATTGTAGAGGCTGTAGAGGTTGCACCGCCGACATGGGGACGAGCACATTGCAGGCAGCTTACTGTAACCAGCTAAACGAAGTAACGCAATGACACTCACATTTGGACAACTCGTCCAATTACACCTACCAAGCAACTTTTTTCCTCACATTCGGGTCCAACCCCTGACTCACTTACTTGTCTATTTACGGAGTTCACTACTCTTTTGAGGCTTTTTTTTTTCTAAATGGGCCTATTTTCTCTGTGCGCTATTGTGAACTACCACATCCATTAATTATACAAAACTACATACCAAAACATTGTCGTGAACAATGCTTTTGATATAATCATTGTTGGAGATATTTCAGAAAATCGTGGATCTCTACGTAGACGAACTGCCAAACACATGACGACGGCGTTAACGTCGTTTTCAGTACTACTCGTCGCCATCGTCGTTATTCAGTGCAACGCTACGGTATGTCAAGTGCAGTCAAGATGAGCCTTTTAGAAGGGTACGGGTCCGTTTGCCAGAACCGGGCAGATAAATGGACTCGTACCCTTCTGAGCGCCACGCTTCGCCGTGGCCGCATCTGATCGCGAGCTATCGCGCACTGTGAAGGGAGAATTCTTGGTGAAAATGTAGTTGGGGAGTGCCAGTGCCCTTTTGTGATCTGCATCTCTGACACCAGGCGGCACAGTGCCTAGAAACCGCGCAAGGGCGCAGTAATGGTTTCCTCCCCTTCCAAAAGCTAGGGATGAGCTCCGGGGTGGGAGACATGATTATCTCGTGCAAAAAGCGGGGATAGGGTAAGAATTGAACATCCAATTGGTTCACCCACCCCGGAGCTTCTTCCCTAACTTTTGAAAAGGGGGAGCCCCGGGGTGGGTGAACCAATTGGATGTTCAGCCATTCCTTTAGAAGTACTATTTGAAATTATTCACCCTCTTTAGCTCACGAGACAAGTGGGCGGTCGTTCATCAATTCACTAAGGTTTCAAAGAACGTTTTTGTCCTTCATGAATTGCAGTTTTCGTCAGCTTGCATGAACGAATCAATTGACGATACAAATTTCGTTTCAGCTGCTCCATCAAGCCTGTCGCGACTGCGGTACACAGTGTAATTTACGATGGGGATGGGCTTCTCACTCCATTGGTATTTCGGAAAGTAGCATGCAGCACCTGAAGGCTCGAATTTCCTTGGTGAAGTCTGGATCAACGCTAAGCCACGAGTCTTTCTACGAACTTAGGCGGAGTAACATGCGGATACCAGTGACCCCTATCGAACGCCTAACAAGAAGCACAAAGCTAGATTTCATCGCAGGGATATTCCTCTTATTTGTCTGTGATATGTTACTATTAAGCTTTACTTTTTAGTGAAACTCCCTTGCACCTCATCAATACTGGTTTCTCGAAATATCGCTCTCAACACTTATGGGTTTTTAAATTTCCACGTTCTCGGTGTCTATTGAATATACATCTTATAAATCCAAAATAATAAAGTTCAACTGCCGTGAATGATTTTCGCGAAATTATTGGACGAATAAAGAATCATGAGACTCAAATGACCTACTCGTAACTTCCAACTTCAATCACTCTGTCCAGGAAATACTACAAAGTCAAGTAATAACAATTTATAAGTAACAGAACAAAACCAATTAACGGTAGGATTTTTGGTAACGAGCGCGTGCTCCCGGTCCTCCGAATTTCTTGGCTTCCGTGCGACGAGGATCGGCAACAAGAAGTGACTTATCGTACGCGAAGAACTGATCTTTCAACTCTTTCTTGCTCTGCTCATCGACATATTTATGATAATACGCCACCTGAATTAAGTCACAGCTACAACACTGCAAGGTTATGGTGGTCAATTTCTAACTACCAACACACAAAAAGAATACAGAAATTCAACCTTACCAGAGCTTTAGCAAGTGCTTGTCGTACCGCGTATATCTGGGCAACATGACCTCCACCACTCACTCGAATTCTAATGTCAACATCTTGGAAGCGCTCTTTACCCACAACAAGGAGGGGCTCCTGCATTATATGATTTATATTTACATAAAGTAAGAAAGTCAACAAGAATCTAGGCGTACTCCTCTTCTGATAGAATAGTTTCCTTTGGAGCTTAAAAGCATGGAAAATGTCAGCGATTCAAAAGAACTAAAGAATAACCAGAAGTGGAATCTCTGCTGAGAAACAATGCACTAACCTGCAACTTCATACGAAGAATCTGAGGCTCGAGATGCTCCAGTGGGCGGCCATTCACCTTGACGAGACCGCGCCCCTTTTTGCAGTGAGCAATTGCAGTGGCGGTCTTCTTACGGCCGAACGTCTGCACAGCTTGGATTGGCTCTTGCCTTGTCATTACACCCTGTTAATTCCATTATAGAAACAACAATCAAACAAAAACGATGAACCACGACATTAGAGGAAACAATGCGGTATAAGCAGGTAGCAACCTGATATGACAAACAGAATCGGAAGCAACAACTTTTATTTACCAGTATGCAAATCAACAACCATCTTTTCAAGTTGAAAGAAGTAACAAATTTCTAGCAAACATACACAAATCAACAATAACTGAACAGATCAGAACATAACAATAGTGACGGCATGCTGCCTACTTAGCCTTTCCTTTTGCTCGGTATTCGGCGACAACAACTGCGTGGTCCCTTTCATAAGGCTCTAGCGTTACCTGCTCTCTCGGCTTGAACTTTTCCTCCTTCAACTTGTTAACTTCACCAGCAAACACTGCCTCAGGCTCAGCGGTGCTATCGATGCAGTTAGCTTTGATTGAGATCACGGCATGCCCGCCATTCTTCAAGAAATTGTGCGCATTTAAAGCTACAATACGAGCTTGATCCGGTTGTGCTACATCAGAGAAAATTGTATCCACCATGCCTGAAAAATCCCGTTGTTCGTAGTTCATTGTTCTACCATACCTTCTCTTCTTTATGATTTATTCCGAACAAAAAACTTTAACTTCATCATGTGGGGTCAAAAACTTCTACCTCCCACAAAAAAAACAGGCTTTCAGCAATATGGCAAATATGTACATCGCAGCTACTGGCTTATGCGCTGTAAATGCTTAAATTCGGAAGAGGTATGAACGTATGCCACAACATAACGCTCCCAATTCTCACAAAATTCTAAGGAAGTTTTGAGTTCGGGAACCACATCTTAACGACAGTTTTTAATACTTACAGTATATCATTGAACTTTTGCCACTCATAACCGACAACCCTCCTACTTCACTACATACGGGTTTAAGCAGGATGTTTTGAGACATTACTCTAAAAGTGACTGTGTTGTAATGATTTCCCGTGAAAACTTTTAGACCCTTAAGGCACCTATACTCACAATCGGTCGAGGCTGGAGATTTCGGAATCGTAAAATTTACTTGCAGTCTAATCCGTAACAATGAATCCCTCAAAAAAAAAAAAAAAACGCCCAATGGGCGTCAAGACACCCATAATTACTGTTGAATCATCACCTTCACGACTCTCATAGGATTTTTACAAGGTTCTTCGATTCTCACTGTGACTCCAAATTTGAACAAATTCAAATTGTTTAGTTTAGTTATCAGAGAGCTTCTACGGTCAACAGTTAATTTTTGGAGTTCAAATAAATTTAGGAAAAGGAGAAAACAAGTCGAAAACCTATGATGAGTAAATAACGAGACTAATAAGGAAACTTACCAACGAGCATTCGGTACTTGTGTGGGTGACGGGCATCCTCGACGATAGGTACAATATTGGGTCTCTTTTTCGCAACATTGAGAAGATCACGACCAGATCGATGAGAGAATTCAACGGCATAAACAATTCCTTCCTAATATAGTAAAGAAATGAGAGCGAATGGGAACAAAGCGATCGAACATCAAACTAACCGAGCCAACAATGTCCGAACAGTGCGACACAGTGGTGCCAGATGCAGCACCCAGGTAAAGCAGCTTGGTGCCCGGCTTGATATGTACATTCTCCAAACCAGCCATCATTGCAGCTGCCAACTTTGAGCGGAAAGGATTCCACACTCGGTATTCAATTTTTTCTGTTCCGTCCTCGACAGACACTCTCTTCTCTCCATAAACAGATTCTCCAACGACCATGTTCCTTGTCGCAAGAGCATCTTCTTTACCTTTGACAATGAACACGCCTAAAAACAAAAATTAACAGAATTCGCTGGGGCATACAGTATCACCAAAAGCGTTGTTTTGCGCAGGCTAACGAGGGCATATCCTACGGTTACGAAATAGGCGTGTCAGGTCACGCGTCCCTTGGAGGCGATGACCTGACGAAACAGCCTCATTCCGGCATATTCCTGGTCACTGTGTGGACGCTACTCTCGACAGTTATGACGGACGAAAGTACTCCGCATCAAGAAGGACAATCGTCTTCTCAGCAGCCTCAAAAAGTCTACCAATTGTCAGCCGATGAACTGGAAAAGCTGATACGGCTTCGACCCGGACCGTCTTCAGCGATAAATACTGCTCCTATTCATACGTTTACAAGGACAGGACTAGCCCGACAACATGAATTCAATTCGGATATTCTGAATATTATTCGACCTATCGCTCAACAAGCACCAGAAGATAGCGACATCAAAAGTGAGTTGAATCGAGCGGTGTCTCTTCTGATAGGAAGAAACGAACTACTGGTGGTCGCCGATTCCGACATTTCCGTGTTCTCGTTTTACGATCAGCACAAGAAAGCGGAAAGTACTGAAGACCCTATATTGGCAGCATTTCTCAAGAAGAAGGAAAAGGAAGCTCCGAAGCAACATAAAGCAAGTGGATGGAAAACGAGCCGCTTTGAGCCATATCAGAGCGGTAGGCAGTTTTTTCGAGGAGAGAGAGCGGCTTGGGCTCCCGCGTCTCTGCAATTCAGGCCCTACTCCACTCGAGGCTTCTCTAGGATGGAAATGCAAGGAACCAGCGACTCTCACAGGATGGAAGATAGGAACCCCCCTAGACGCGCTTCTTCGAGAGATATGTGCTACGAGTGCGGGAGGTTCGGCCACTTCGCCATCGACTGCAAATTCGAAAAACGAACAAAGTAAATTCGTAGCAGGTAATATACATTTCAAGCTTGATTTTTGGAATAGTTTGAGCGTATCAGTCTTGATAAGGAAGACTCTCAGGGAGGGGTTTCTCCCAAATTTTCATACGTCACCAGATATCACGTTTATTGAGAGTAATCGTAATTCTACCGTGGTCTACAAAGATTTTGTTTCAGATCAAATTGATATTTTACTTAAATCTAACAGTATTTCCAAGTGTGAGCCCAGTCAAATCGTCCGAGTCAACCCGCTCTCAGTCGTAGAAGGTAAGAAACTTCGTTTGATTCTGGACTTGTCAGATTTGAACAAGTACCTAGAGAAGTACCATATAAAATTCGAGGACCTTTCCAAGATCAAAAATCTGCTTCCATATCAGGGTTTTATGACCGCTTTCGATCTGAAATCGGGTTATCATCACGTGTTGGTCCATAGAGAGTTTAGAAAGTATCTCGGTTTTCGATGGGGAGGTCAGAAATATGTTTTTAACGTCCTTCCCTTTGGGCTTTCCCCGGCCCCTTTTATTTTCACCAAACTTTTCAAGCCTCTGTTATCCAAGTGGAGGTCTCAAGGTATAGGTGTTGCCATTTACCTGGATGATGGTTTAATATGGGGTGCTACCGAAGCAGAATGCAGAGAGGTTTCTCAAAAGGTCAGATGTGACTTGCTAGACGCCGGTTTCTTTTTGGCAGAAGAAAAGAGTACGTGGATTCCTTGTCAGAGACTGACCTGGTTAGGTCACATTATTGATCTAGAAGAAATGTCGTTGGACATTACGCGGGAAAGGAAAGAGAATGCACGATCGTGCTTGAATGCGATACTAAAGAAAAAGAGGCCCTCGTTGAGAGAAAGGCTAAAAGCGTTAGGTTTCTTGGCTTCGATGTACTTAGTGATTTCCCGAGACATGCATAAGAGAAATCGCTGTTTAGCGTCGGAAGTTGCATACAAAACGTCGGAAGGTCATAGCCTATCGTTCAGATGGCCACTTAGCGCGGAGGAAAGTGAGGAAATCCGAAATTGGTTGAATTTCCTTTCACAGAGCAAAACCGCTTTGCAGTTTTCGCACCAGCCCTTCGACCACTTCTATATAATCTCCACAGATGCCTCGGAGTCTGGGGTGGGAGCAGTTTTCCATTCCTCATCTAGGCGGAACGAGACTAGCTTTAGCGCTTTACCGCCCCATTTGAGTAAGGCATCTAGTACCGCTCGCGAGCTTTACGGGATATTACATGCTATAAACGCGTTTGGCTCGATGATAGCGGGCGAGAAAGTTCAAGTTCAGACCGATAGCCAGGGAGCTCAGACAGTTTTCTACAAAGGAAGTACAAAGAGAGACCTTCAGAACCTAGCAAGTCAGATCTGGCTGGTAGCGGAACAACTCGCCCTTCGCTTAGAGGTGTTTTGGATTCCTAGAGAATTGAATATGGAAGCAGACGGAATATCTAGATTTGTAGATTTGGATGGATGGTCTATCATAGACTCCGTATACGATAAACTGTTCGAAAATTGGGGCCCGTTCGAGGCTGACATGTTTGCGGACGCGGAAAACAGAAAATGTGAAACGTTTGTTTCCAGATGGTTCAGTGAAGGGTGCTCAGCAGTCGATG